AAAAAGGCTGGTGTATTTTGAATAGCTATAATAATATAGCTTATAAAAACCCTTGTATTTAATGTTTAAGATTTTTGATCATCAATATGATCTTTTTATGGATCATTATGGATAAATAATCGAAACATTCAATGTCCATAAATTATCAATTTAATTATAAGTATAAATATTTTGAAAACTAAACCATGTCTAAAAAAACATTGTAATATAAAAATCGTGTGTAGATTTCAAATATACATGGTTTATTCAGTTTTGAATTGCAGCAATATAAGAAACTTAAAAACTATGTTTGCTTAAATTTTCTTGTTTTTCACAATTACTAAGAAAATTAATTAGGATTTTTCTCTTAAAGAAAGTAACAATTAAATTCACTTTTCTTTCAGAAAATATATACAAATTAAAATCGATGCATTTTGTCTACTGTTGTATCATGCATAATATATAAGAAATATTACAATTAGAACTATTAACTATAGGTTAAGTAAACAATCATATGTAACTGGTAAAATACCAAAACAATTATGTAATGGCGTAATACAATAACAATTAGTATCATTTTAAGCTTAGTCAGTAAGTATAATGTAACTAGGTTAAACTCAATATCGATATTACCGATAGTGCTTCGATTGTAAAATTTATATTTAAGGAATATGTGAAGACAGAAAAGTGGTCAGTTGGCGGTAGTCGTGTGACTCGATTACCACTTACCACCAGTGTCAGAGCCAGGTGGTGATCGTGTGACTCGATCGCCACTGGACGTCAAAGTGTTCAATAAAAGTTCTTATAATTTATTTATTTCGTTTATTTGTGTACGTCACTACGTCAGTGATCGGCGTATACGACACTACTAAAAAGTATAAAAAAAATGTCTCGACACATAAAAAACCTATTATTGTAAAATCAATAAACTCATTGCTCTGCTATAAAAGTTTTAAGTTTTAATGTTTGGGTATTTTTGTATTTTTTTTTTTTGTATTTGATTAATATGATTTAGTTTTTGAGTATTGTTCATTAGTTTGTGATCATACCAATGTATGCAAAACAACATTTAAATAAAAATTATTTTTATTTATTTGAACATTTAACTTTAATTATATATAAATGATTTCGATTTCGAGGTAACTCGATTTAAAGTTTTTGTCAATGTTAACTTTGTGGTTTCAGGTTCGTGAATTTGTTTTTTATTTATTATTTACATACGGTATGCGCGTAAGTAATAATCGTTAAATGTATACTATTTAAAGATTCAAAATAAACGTTATATATATATATAGTAGGGTATAGTCTCGGGGGGCAGTAGGCATTTCGCTTCATTCTGTCCTAACCTTCCTATCATGTCAAGAATTGGTACTAATAATTCTATTCCATTCTCGGTAAAGTAGAAAACTGAGTCGACTGGTGCGTGAGTGTAATAGGGTTGTTACCTGCAGTTTAACTATACTTTTCTCATTTCCTAAGTAGATTTTTTCATTGGAAAAACGTTTATTGGGAGAAGTAATTCTCTCCAAAAAAGTAGTGTAGTCACTTTTCATTAGCTAATTGATTGTTAACTGTAATCAGTGTATTTTGTATTTTCAACCACCTTAAAATTAGGATTTGCACAGTGATAATGTAAGTTATGTTTATACTTTCACTTTATTATAACTGCATAGTATAGTTATTTTGCTACAAAAATAATATTAGTGATCGAATAGAGTTATTTTCATAAATATGTAGTAAACGTTTAAACGAGCCGTTTTAAGCACCATTATAAATATGATTTAACTTACTCAGATGACAACTTTACTGCGAATGACATGAACGAGATGCTAGGATCTGTTTGAAAAAATCTTAGTATAAAATAATATAAGTAAAAAGTACAGTAAAAAAAAAGAAAAAAGGAAAAAAGGTCAGTCATTTACCAATTGTAATATTATGTATTATGTGGTTAGGTAACCCCCCCCCCCACAAAATGTGTATTGGGCATGGGTACTAAAACTCTTAACAGTCTTACCCACCGCCTATAATGTACATTCAGTAATATAATAGTATGTATTAACCGCGGCATTTCGTTCTTTTGAACAGTACCTACCCCACCTAATAAAATAATATTCCGCGTCACTGTGCGTTGCACCAAACATGAATAATCCATTTGCTGTACCCATAATATTAAACTGTAATAGTATAACGATGATATGACAGCCACTGCATTTCGTATGGTACATAAAGTGTTATAGTGGAATACTGACCTTAACGGTGTTAAAAGCCAATTCSKGAAAGGCGGAACGTTCGAGGGAAATGGATTCCGACGGTCAATAATAATAATAATTACAATTATTATTATTAGATATCATTTTATAATACTTCAAGTTGACTAGATTACCAGCCGTTTAAATAAACCACGGAACGGAATTTGGACATAGTTTCTTCACCCCGGGACGGAATTTGGCAATTGCCAAATCAAAAAAAAAAAAAGCGTGGAAGTCGTAGATGTCGCTCTGCTGTACAGTAGGTTACAGGTGAGTTACTGTAATGGATGGAATTAAATTTGAATCCAATGATACTATATCATTGTATACGAAAAACGATTCTGAGCGCAGACGGTTTATCTGTCTAGGATAATATTCTATATTATTGTAATTTCCAAAGCTTAGATAATATAAAGAGAAATTTTTTATGAATTTCTAGCATAAAATAATTTGCGAATTTTCGTGATTTTTACGTACCTATGTTGTAAAAATTTAAGCTTTGAATGCTCATAAAAAAAAATTGTGACTACATATTTCTTTTATTTTTCAACTGCTATTGTAAAAATGTGTTAGGGAGCCTTGTATTAAATTTTTTAAATCTTAGGTAYCTATAAAAGGAAAATTTTTTATGAATTTCTATCTAACATAATTTTTTTTAAATTGCCGTAATTTTTACGTATTTTGCCAAAATTTTAACTTTAAATGCTTATAAAAAAAATCGTGCATATTTTTCAACTACTATTGTTACAATATTTTAGGTGACTTAAATTAAATTTTCAGGATTTTCTAACACAAATACATTTTTATTGATAATTATAGAAAAAAGAACTAAAAAAGTTGAACAATTAAAATGTCATTAAACAACTCAAAGCAAATCAAAATATTTTTAAAATTGTATCAAATATAGAAAATTCCTATATAAACATTCAGTGAAAATGCCAAGTATCTGTGGTCATTTATTTCACTAAAATAAGATAATCGCTAAATGAGAAATCTATCGAAAATCCAATATTGTAAAAATTAAATTTCAAATGCTCATAAAAATTTAATTTGAATTTCTAGTGCATATTTTTTCATGATAAAGATTGACAAACTTGTAATGAATCTTGTATTAAATTTTCAAGCTTTTCTAMCCAATAAATACATTTTTATCGATATTAATTTTAAAAAGATCAATATTGATCGAAAATTCCATAAGCCTATAAATAGTTAAATTTAAGTCGAAGTTTTTTGAAAACTATATGGTGAATAAAATATACTTATATAAACATTCAGTGAAAATTTCAAGTATCTATAGTCATTTCCTATTTTTCCGTTAATTTTTAGTTTGTTTATACTGATCATTTAGAAAAATATTGAGAATTTTTACATTTGAACCGCTAAAGTACCAAGTAGATTCACTTTCTGATCGAACGAGGTACTGAAGTCCAAAATCGAAGACTTTTTAATGCCTCAAAACGTAATGACAGACAAAAAAAAAACTAACACACATCATGGTGAAATAAATACATTCTTTGCTCCACTCAAAATCTAAAATCTTAATGAATCCAGATCCTTTTAGTATAAGACAAATGTGGCAGGTTATTAAGGAAGACTACCAGCTTTCTTAAGAAACTAAGAATAGGCAGAGAGAATAATATAGTGGGTGAAAAAGAAGTATCTTGGAGGCCGAGTATTATAGAACATTACAAAAAAACTGTATACAAACAAACCAAAAAAGAATATAAAACCAGGATTGGCAGAAAAGTAGTCAAACCTAAAAAATTGGACTCAAAGATTACGTACTAATTTAAATATCAAAAATATTTATATATATATTATTATACTCTATTAAGTTAAGTAAATAATTTCTTTGTATTATCTCAACATTAAACTTATTTATGAGAATAAAAATATGTTAAAAATGCATGTACAAAATTATATTGCGACAATAATTCAATTTTTATAAGAAGGACAATAGAAAAGAGAGATGTGTTAATAACAAGTAATAACAGATAAGCTATTATTAGATAATTATGTATTAAGATGTTAATTTATAATTTTTAAGACAAACTTGTATGAATTATCTCTTTTTAATTAAAAAAAATTACAAATAATGAATAAACAGAGTGTTAAATAATATATTCACCATAAATTATAATATACATTATTCATATATATATACGTAGGTATTATCAGCGTAATCATTATATGCTAAAACGATTTATCCTCTTAAATTATTATGATCCTTGGATCTTAAATCTATGATCTAACAAATCAAAATGGCATGTGGGTATGTTTATGTTTCATCAAACTGGAGTTTGTAGAGAAAAATTTGTCACAAACATCGCACGCGTACGGTCTTTCACCAGTGTGTGTACGTCGATGTCTTGTCAAATCGCTTCTATGACTGAATGTTTTGTTACACACATCGCACGCGTACGGTTTTTCGCCAGTGTGTGTGTGTCGATGTCTTGTGAAAATGCTTCTTTGACTGAATGATTTGTCACAAACATCGCACGCGTATGGTTTTTCACCAGTGTGTGTGCGTCGATGCATTATCAAATTGCTGCTTTGACTGAATGATTTGTCACAGACATCGCACGC